TTACATAAGGAAGGGAGTGAAAAGGTCAGAGATGCACATAAATGTACGGCGGACATATTTGGTTGTAAGTCTTACTTGGGTGGCGTGTATTAAATAATTTACAAATTAAATCTAGTTTTGCTTAGACTCCCTGGCGCCAAACAAACAACGAGTTAAGTTCAAACTTTTTTTTAATAAACATTTATATAAAAATGGTGTACAACTTTGAAACAGCAAGAAAAAAAAATGATGTTGGCAACTTGCCATGAAAAAGTTTCACATTAAAAATTGAAGGTTATATATATGTGTGTGTGTGTGTGTGTGATCCACAGGCAGGCTGTTTCGCTGTATCACGGCTCATCAGTGTGGTCAGACATCCGATTGCTTCAAGCCGGAATTGAAGCCCGACCTATTCGGCAACAGCCGAAGATTTCCCCCTAAGCCATCGGCGCACGCTTGAAAGACAGGCGAATTTTTACGTACTTACTCTGTGAATAAACATGCGAATGACAGTGCTCAATTCAGGAAAGGGAAGAGTCTTGTAACAGTAGTAGTCATTGTTTACAAATTCTTATATATATATATATATATATATATATATATATATATATATATATATATATATAGTAGCGTCCAAAACTAAGGGACAAAATTTTAAAACCTAATATTTGTTAGAAATAACAACTGTGAAAAGCTGAAATTTTGATCATCCATAATAACATACTAAAATTTGAATCATTTGCAAAGGATAGACAAAGAATTATAACAATTATTTATTTATTTTCAAATTTGGAACGTCCAAAAGTAAGGGACAAAATTGAGAAAAACAATGTAAACGGCAAAAAAACAATAAAAATACATGTATAATCAATATTTAGTAAATGAGCCCTTGCTCTCAATGACAGCTGCACATATTCGACTACAAGATCGAATCAGTTCTTGACAATCCTCGATACTAATTTTAGACCATTCTCCTTGAAGCTTCACCCACAAATCCTCCGTGTTAGTGGGATTTATTTCCATAACTTTCACTCCTAAGGTCTTCCAAAGATTTTCTATTGGATTTAAGTCAGGACTTTGCGGTGGCCAATCCATAATTTCCAAATCTTGCTCGCTAAGGTAACTCATTACCACCTTTGCCTTGTGACAAGGGGGATTATCTTGCATAAAGGTAGCCCTATCGAAACCTGAATTCTGTATGATTGGCACAACATGATCTTGAACAATGTTTTTATAGATCTGCGCGTTTACACGAGTTTGTAACCGGACAAGAGGCGTTGTACCTTGGCTAGAAAACATTCCAAATACCATGACGCTTCCGCCCCAAACTTGACAGTTTTCTTAGTACACTTTGCACTTAATCTTTCACCAATACGTCTCTTTACATTGTTTTTTCCGTCATTTCCAAATAAATTAAACTTGCTTTCATCACTGAAAAATACTTTTTGCCCAATTTTCATATGTCCAAATTACATACCTGTTTGCAAACTCTAATCTCTTCTTCTTATTCTTCGAACTAACAAGTGGTTTCTTCCTGGGGTTCGATTAAACAGCCCTATTTCTTGCAGTCGTCTACAAACAGTCTGTCTTGACACATTAACACATGAGGTACTATTCAAAACCCTTTTAATTTCTGTGCAAGACTTAAAACGGTCTTTTAATGACATACGCTGCATTATTCGATCTTCTCTTGCCGAAGTTTTGCGGGGTCTGCCGGTTTTAAAAGCACTAACTATTTTGCCAGTATCATTGTAAGATTTAACAACCCTGTCTACAACACTCTTGGAACGTTTCACTTTCTCTGAAATCTCTCTAATGGTGTGCTTTTCCTTGTGTAGCTTCACAATAGCTTGTCTCTGGAAGTAATCAAGTTTTGGCGTTTCGCCATGGTGCCAGCTGATGCAACGTTTACAAATGACTAAGTAAGACTTATTCTTTAGAGAAAATCAAAAATTTGAATATAGCATACTGTTTACATTGTTTTTTTCAATTTTGTCCGTTACTTTTGGACGATCCTATTTTGAAAATAAATAAATAATTGTTATAATTCTTTTTCTATCCTTTGCAAATGATTCAAATTTTAGTATGTTATTATGGATGATAACGACTACCAGTTGTCAAAATTTCAGCTTTTCACAGTTGTTATTTCTAACAAATATTAGGTTTTAAAATTTTGTCCCTTAGTTTTGGACGCTACTGTGTGTGTGTGTGTGTGTGTGTGTGAAGAAATATAGTTTTAAGGTATGCTATATTTATGGGATAAAGTGCTCAATATCAGAGATAGAGTGTATGTAAATATAAAAGTGAACATTAAAATCATCAGGCCACCTAATGATTGCGTTAGCATGAAACGGTCTGTCGTCCCTGAGTGTTGACTTCAATGTTCACTTATATAAAAGTTATATTTGGCCAGTAAGTATTCATCGCAACAAGTTCTATTAAATAGAACCAACAAAATCTGTCTGTTTAATTTTTTATTATACTTTCCAACATTCGGATGAGATGTTGAGTATTATGCTCGAAGTTACTTTTTTTTTTATTTTCATTCAAGTACTTTCAAATTTCCAGTCATTATCAAGAACCGACGTGGTAGCTGTGTCATTGTTAGAATTCCTTTGTCTGCATCTTGCTATTCATTCGGACGCTTGATGTTTGAAATGGTGTAGAGTGACGTCATTTTTAACTGCTTTTGGGATCTAGACAGTGCAAAAGAATGCGATTTGTTTATTTTATTTTATCAATTAATTCATTTGTTGATTTTTAATGCTATTATAATATGTAATCACATTAATTGTATCATATGCACTTCGAGATAACATCTCCTGTCGTGAATGATTGTCTTTTTTAAAGTGGGCAGTTTATTTTTGTATAATATCTTCTAGGTTTTTGAATCTTTTCTTACAACTGGTACTATAAAGTATTTTGGTATTGTCAGCTAATATTTGTCTTACGTTAGTAGTTACATTTTGGTCGTTCATAATGTGTTGGCCGATGTGTTCATGGTTTGCACTAAGTGTCAATAGGTGGCAGGTCAATCTACACATGCACCACAATCTCACAGATTGTGGTGCATGTGTACCCAATTTATGTATTTAATATTGTTTTTGATAATTAGTGATGGAAAACGACCATGAGAATTCTACTGTCATCGAATAATACATCTTATTGTTAATAGGGAGTTCGTAAGTGTAGGACAAAGCTATTCACAAAAGGTTTCTTTCAGTTTTTTTATTACTTCCAAGTTGTTTGTCAATATATATATATATATATATATATATATATATATATATATATATGTGTGTGTGTGTGTGTGTGTATGTATGTATGTGTAGTAATTTTATAACATATTTATGTTATAATTTTTAAATACATTGATAAGACACCGGAGGTGTTGAAACAAAATTGCTATTTTTTGTAGTGATTTTATAACGTATTTATGTTATAATTTTTAAATAAATATATATATATATATATATATATATATATATATATATATATATATACTGCATATGATTGCCTTTGCATATAGCATGAAACAGACTGTCGCCTCTAAATGTTGACTTTTATGTTCACTTTTATATTTACACGCTCTACCTCTGATATTGAGCACTTTTTTCCATAAATATACCTTAAGACTATATTTTATTATATATATATATATATATATATATATATATATATATATTAGTTGATTGATGTGAGTTTGTGACCCTGGGTTTGACGATCGCAAAGCGTGAAACCCAGGTTCACAGACTCACATCAATCAACCAAATATGATAGCTCTATCTCTGATATTGAGCGCTTTCTAATAAGTACCGCATATATAATATATGTGTGTGTCTGATTGAATAAATTACAGACATCATGTCCGCTAATTTTTAACAAAATCCTTTCATACCCACGAATGACATTGCGTGTATCTAAAACAGAATTTTCTACCTAAATACAGAAATTATATATATATATATATATATATATATATATATATATATGCAGTACTTATTGGAAAGCGCTCAATCTCAGTGATACAGCTAACATATTTAGTTGGGTTGATGCTAGTTTGTGACCCGTGGTTTCACGCTATTTGCAATCGTCAGACAGAGTTACAAACTCACATCAATCCAACTAAATTTATATAACAATCGCGGTGTTGGCAGTGGCACTTGCTTGCATCCAAGCATTGGGATTGTCACCTTCTCTCCTTATTCCCTTTCTCCGCCTTGGTGGCGGTGCTGGAGATGGTTGTGAAGGTCTAGCCTTTTATCATAGAAAAAAATATTAGTAAAATGTGAAAAAGTAAGCCATTTTTAAATAGATCTTGCAGTAGAAAAACAGAATCAGTTTGAAAAGTATTTGTTAAAAATTAAACATTAAAATCAAATTTCTTTGCAACAGAGTCGAAAAAAGAAATTGGAATAAATTTTTCTTTAAATTAAATCAATTTTTTCGATTAGAACATCATGCCTCGAATAGATCTTCAGTTTTTTTTTTTCATTATTTTGCAGTGTACAAAGCTAAATTATCGTGTAAGAACCGTGGAAAGAACTCAAAATAGTTTTTAAGAATATTAAATTCACTTTCATTGAAATGAAATATTAAATTACCTTACCACTGACAGGACCAAGATTTCTAAATTACATTTTTTTAGAGTGAAAAGGGTTTGGTTATGCAATAAACAAAATATAACAAGTCTTAAGGGAGGAAAATATAAATCACAATCTTTAATTAAATAACCTGAAGTCATTCCAGGTGTAAAAGCAAAAAGTAATGTTTATTTTTTTTTGTAGATTACAGAAGTGAACTACAAGTTCAAACCAAAACTAAAATCTGTCACTCCCACTGAAATAAATCGCTTTCAAAATTGGCCTCCGATTCTGACCATTAGTTGCCCCATAAATAAACCAGTAGTATAGAACACCATGGTAGAGAGCTACTATCACCTACTTCCTGAACATTTAAAAAAGAAAGAGATTGAAAAATGGATTATATAAGCCAGTATGATTTTAGTCAAGAATACTTACAGCCAGCTTCTTTTTTAGTTTTTCCAGCTCAATTGCAGCCAGTGTATTGGGATGGTCCGTGTTGACCTTACCATTTGTATTCCATTTGCCCAGCCGCAGCTGATCAAGCTGCTGAGTCAAGTGGTCAACTTTAGCCACCGCAATAGATAATTCCTTCTCCTTTTCATTGAACAAAGCCTTGATAGCGTCCAGTTCAGCACCTGTGAAAATAATAGCAGACAATGTCAACAGAAGGCAGACAGAAAGATAACTGTCCTTTTAGGCGATGTGTTAGTTCTTCATTAAATCATGTTGTATGAAAGTATCATGATTAAAAAAAGGTTACATTTTGTTTGAAGTAGTTGGAGATGAAACAGTAAAAAGAGAGGGGAGAGAGAGAGGGGAGAGAGAGAGAGAGGGAGAGAGAGAGAGGGAGGGAGAGAGAGAGAGGGGGAGAGGGGGAGAGAGAGAGGGGAGAGAGAGAGGGAGAGAGAGAGGGGAGAGAGAGAGGGGAGAGAGGGGAGAGAGGGGGGAGAGAGAGGGGGAGAGAGAGGGGGAGAGGGGAGAGGGGGAGAGGGGGGGAGAGAGGGGGGAGAGAGAGGGGAGGGAGAGAGGGGGAGAGAGAGGGGAGAGGGGGGGAGAGAGGGGAGAGAGGGAAGAGAGGGAGAGAGAGAGGGGAGAGAGGGGAGAGAGAGAGGGGAAAGAGGGGAGAGAGAGAGGGAAGAGAGGGGAGAGAGAGGGGGAGAGGGGAGAGAGAGAGGGGGAGAGGGGAGAGAGAGAGGGAGAGAGGGAGGGGAGAGAGAGAGGGAGAGAGAGAGGGAGAGGGGAGAGAGAGGGAGAGAGAGGGGAGAGAGAGAGAGAGAGGGAGAGGAGAGAGGTTAAAATTAATAAAAAAAATGGCTCTTTCAAGCCCTCAGTTTTATCTTGCTTACATATCTTCACAATTTAGTTCGATTGGTTTTCTATGGTTTGATTTACCAATCTTTTAGTGGTTATTTAAAGCAAGAAAAAAAATTTCTTAAAAGATTTTAAGTATCAATATTTTTTGAAATAATGATTTAGTGATACAGGTCTTACTAATTAACCCATAGCTGGGAGGGGAAGAGATAGATTCATACCTTTCCCAGGGGTATCTGTGCATAAATGAATATAACGAAGTCAACTGGAATTGGAATTCTACTTTCTAATTAACAATTCCAAGCCACTATCCATTCATCATCATCATCATTATCCTTCGACCTTCCTAGGGTTGGTCAGATCTCCATTGATAATGTTCGGTCCTGTATTGATTTGATGTCCCCAATGTCAAACTCTGAGTCCCGAGCTATTTTTGTGAGAAGACACTTCCAGAAAGATGCCATAGAAATAAGGATGAGACGGTACTCCCTGTCTGCTCAGTGGCAGTGGCCGGAAAACTTTAATCGTTTTTGTTTGAGTTTAAGAGACATTGGTCTCAGTACTCCATAAATTGTGTTAAGCGAAGCGATTTTCAACTGATTTTCTGAATTTTTCTAATTAGATTTGCATATGTTCCATCCAGTCAACTTTCAAGACAAGCAGATAATGCCTAAGTTTCGGATCCATAGAGTAGGATTTGTTCAATCAATGTTCGAAAGGTTTTACTAATAATACTTTTTATCGTCTGCACACCATATAAGAAAAAAAAAAGCAAACGTTTGCCCTGAAAGTAGAAAATTATATGCATAATCTCCGTCATCATCATTATCCTTCGACCTCCCTATGATTGGTCGGAACTCCATTGATAATTCCTTCACAAACTGTTCGGTCCTGTATTGCTGACCCCAGTTTCCCAATGTCAAACTGAGTCCCGAGCTACCGTGTCTGGGAAAGTCAATTTTCGTGAGAAGACACTTCCAGAAGGATGCCATAGGAGTAAGGATGAGACGGTACTCCCTGTCTGCTCAGTGGCAGTGGCCGGCAAATTGTAATCGTTTTTGTTTGAGCTTAGGAGACATTGGTCTCAGTTCTCCGTAACTTGTGTTAAGCGTTACATGAGATATCCAACTGAAGTAGATTTGTACATGTTCAATTCAGTCATCTTTCAAGACAAACTAAAAATGTCCAAGTTTGTTATCCATACCGTAGGATTGGTTCAATCAATATTTGAAAGGTTTGGATGGAAGGTTTGAGTGTCAGATCTTGTGATGTTTGTTACACGCATCCCATGCAAGGGTTTTGCACAATCTATTATGTGAGATCTTCAAGATATTTGAAGTCCTCAAATCTTTTTTTAGATGTATTATTGAGCGACTTCAACTCAGATGGTTCAGGAGAGGTTATCCATTATCCATTTCACCAACCCCATATCCTAGCTTACAACACCTGGTGTTACCAAGCGGTAACCCCCTCTAGATACTGACCAAGCTCAACATTGCTTAACTTCGGTGTTCGTACGGGAATGATATGACCTAAGCTTCACAATTCAGAATTCTTACATGTATAAAACGACACCATTCAGTAAGCTCTGTTTTGAGTGGCTCTTGGGCCTTGTGCTGGATTAACAATAGCATAAAACATGCGTACTTGTTAAGGTTTGTGAAACAGAGTTCTCTATAAGTAATTTGGAATATTTACATGCATATTATAACTACAGATGAATCAGAAGATTGATGTAGATTATCCACAGTAAATATATATCCAGAGTCTTACTACATTTTCCCTTTTCTCGGCAGTTCTATTATCAAAATGCGGGATATTTAACAACAACAAAAAAAGAAACTAAATTAAATTGGCTAGGCTATATACTCAAACACATATGGTATATACTCATATATCTTGCGACCTTTGAGGACCTAATTTTGAAGTTAATTTGACGACAGTAAGTGGGTATATCATTTGAGTTGGTCTGGTTTGGTTTCGCTTACGGCATATTAACCACAATGGGTTATTTAATGCCGACAAGATTTTTATTTTTGGTAATATTTTTTCCAAAAAGTATTGCTGGTAATAATTTTTTTCTTCAAAAATTTATTGCTGGTAATAATTTTTCACAAAAATGTATTGCTGGTGTTAATTAATTGTCCACAGATAGGATCCTAACAGGTGCTACCACCCCGGCTCAGGATGGACCTGGAAACACCGGCAATTAAGAGGTGGTTCCACACTCCTCAAAACCTCCTGATCAGAGGCCTTGCTGTCGGATGCAGTGTATGGTCATAACCAGGACACAATATCATTTGGTCAACGGCGTCATCAGGGCCAGCAGTACATACGCTAATTTTACATTGCATGGGCGATGTAACCCACTGAAAATTAGTTTCAAAGTTAGGTCTTATAAAGTCACATTATATGCAAGTATACACGGTATTTAAAAAAAAAAATTGAAAAGTTTAAAATTTCAGCCTCCCCTCTTCTTCATGCACATGTGTAATTACATCAACGTAAAAAAAAAAATCGCCATTCTAACATTTACAGAATTTTCTACCTATCCATAATTATAATCAACGTCTGTGTTTTTATATCCCCCCCTCTCCGTTTTACGCATATATAATTGCAATAATAATTTCAATGCCCCTCTACTTCATGCAAATATATAGTCACATCAGCGTAAACATCACATAAGTCCGATGACTTCAGTGTTTCATTCACTTTCGGTTAATTTGCAGTTTAGCACCCGCGCTCACTTCACATAAAAAAATTTCCAGAATACTTACATTTATGTCTAATTGTACACGCTCCATTCAAATGTGGCTTGATAAATTTGATAAAATCTACTGTTTTGGAGTTATCGTTAGTAAAAGTTCGGATTTATTCACGTCGTGGGCGGCAGCCATTACTGGCATTATTTGCATACATTCGCAGCGGAAAGCTAAGCGCGGAAGAGAACATAGTTAACGGCCTTGTTTACTGATCTAACTTGTCTCAATTACTACGCAAGATAACTATATTACATGCGTAAAAAACAATACAATATCCCACTCATAGCTATTCCGCAGCAGAAGTATGCAATCAAGGCCTGTAATGGCTGCCCACGACGCGAATGGATCCGAACTTTTACTGTCGATAACTCCATAACGGTAGATTTTATCAAATTCATCAAGCCATATTCGAATGTAACATGTAAAATTACACATAAATGCAAGTATTCTGGTAATTTTTAATGCGAACTGAGTGTGGGGGATGAACTGCAAATTAATCTAATTTTCTATGGCTTAACCCTTTTAAGGTTTATTTAAAGCCAGAAAATAATTTTACATTCTAAGAATTCTTTTGCAGGGGTGTAGATAATAATGGTTTAGTGATGCTCGTCTTAGTAATTAACCTATAGCTGGGGGGAAGAAGTAGTGGGTCCATGCCTTTCCCAACGATATGTGAATGTCAGTGAATATAACAAACCCAACGAGAGAATTGTAACTCGGCTGTTTGATTAACAATTCCGAGCCATTATCCATTACATCATCTGCACATCCAGGTTTATAGCTCCCGGTATTCCTAAGCGGTCACCCATCTAGGTACTGACCAGGCTTGACGTTGCTCAGCATTGGTGATCGTATGGGAAACTGATAAGCCTATTAGTACTCTCTCACTATTTCCATGGCAAATGTTCTGACAAGTTCCATTCTTTATTTCAACCTGTTCAAACCTTTTCAGCGAGAACCCACCGTGCTCTCTACACATCACTGAATACTCCATATTCACTTTGTATTCCAATGTTAAGAGAAAAGATCTACACAGACGGCTCTCCAAAGACTACTACTTTCTGGAAAAGCTTCAAGTCTAGGCTCAATCATTATCTATCCTACATATCCTTATAGTCGGCACTTTCCACGTAGTCTTCTTACATCCATACCACACATTAAGTAAATCTCTACCTTGAGTGGCTCTTAGGCTTTTTATTCATTGAACATTATAAAAAAAATTAAATAATGAATAAAACTTCTATTGTATCTTAAGAAATTAAACAAATACATCTGTCCCATAATAATTGTTACATTTGTATTTATATCTCATTCGGTATATGCACCAATGTTTTTTTGTTTTTTTTTGTGACAGTTTTTATAAATTACTGTTCTTGAAAATCCATTTAAAAAAAGAAGATAAAGTTAATTGTTAAATCAAGGAGACGAAAGGGTTATAAATACCAAGCAAGTAAAGCAGGTGTAATAGGCAGAGCATGAAGTGTATATTTAGCATCCATCTTTTCTTATAATACAGTGGCTGACAGGAAACAGCAATCAGAATTTGCGATAGGGCTTACTATTTCCGGTGAACTTTAACACACCTGACCTTTCAACAAGAGACAACCTTGCAAAAGGACAGAAGGTTGAAAATAGCAAAGTTCTATTTCATTTTGATTATTTTATATATATATATATATATATATATATATATATATATATATATATATATATAGTATATCCTATTAATATAAAATATTAAAATATATATAGCCACAAATATATATATATATAATATATATATATAATATAATATATATAAAATATGAAACTCAAATATTACCCCCATTTCAGAGATCCCTAATATAAAATATTAAAACTGGCCATTTCGTCCCCCACTATTAGATAAGTAATCCCAAAATGAAATTTTCAGATCAATTTCGTCCCCCACTCGCAAACACATTTGTTAAAGAAAACAAATGTGTTTGTATTGATAAGTCCCAGGAAATATCTTCCAGGTTAGGGGAGAGAAAACATGGCTATCTGAATGGTGTAATTTGAGTTTCAGCGTTTGTAATTCACGCACGCACACACACACACACACACACACATATATATATATATATATATATATATATATATTTGTGACACGTTTCATCCATTCGGACTTCATCGGACTGGGTTTGTTGATGTTGTTATGACTACACATACGCATGAATGAGATACTATAGTTTCAAAATATTTTTTACAATCTAGCCAAATTCATCTATATTCTTCTTATGAATGGGTTTTGTTTTTTTAAATGTCTCTTTCGTGTTCATATAGCTTTTTGTTTAAAAGCTGTCTAGAATAACTTTTTCTGACAATCCTTGCAGTTGATAGAAGAAATTCCTTCTTCAAGTTTTGTCTTGGATAACTCAGTTTTTAGTTAATTCCCCTTGATAACTCTCCAAGTTTTTGTTCCCTCTGCTGTGTCCAGAGATTGAACTCACAACTCTTCGGGAGAAATCACTTTTGAAACAGTCAACTAATGCTATTAACTTGGGATATGTGTACTTTGGAACATACGTGGGGGATTTTTGGGACTTATAAACCTAATATCTCGCTATCATATCTAAGTATCAGAGTTTGTATTACATTTTTTTTATTATTGTTGTTGCTGTTTTTCTCTAGCTCGCTGTATTACTGTTTCCCATATTATATTCATTTCCTTGCTTGGCCGGCTTTTTTTTTTTTTTTTTTTTTTTACAGTGAGATTCACCCTGTTCAAGACTCGGGGGGGGGGCATTCGAAGTAGAAGGTTACGTTAGGAGGGCAAGATAATCTGTTCAAGTCTAGGATTAACCTTTAAGATTATAGTGATCGGGGAAAAGTTGGTTCCACAGAGCAATGGTTCGCAAAGGGGGACTTACTTCTCACTGATGGAATACAGAGGGAATGTGTATGGTTCGCTGTTAGGCTTGGTGGAACCAAATAATGTAGTTCACCCGAGTACTTACCATGGAAATAGTGATAGAGAAGCGAGAGGCTTGCTACATTCTACATGTGAAAGAAAGGTTGAAGGTGGAAAATAATTTGTGATCCAAAAGGACACGAGGAGATTTTTGTAGCTTAGCATATGTGCTGATTCCTTAAGTTTTCGTATTTTCCTGTGATATTCTGTTAATTATTTCAACTTCATACCACAGAAGATGAGGTAAATAATCTTAAGAAAATTAAAAGCTCATTCAGAGAATTGGAAGTGATAAATATTACTTGAACAATTTCTTTCACTCTTGCCGAGAGAGAGAGAGAGAGAGAGAGAGAGAGAGAGAGTGGAGGAGAGGAGAGAGAGTGGAGAGAGAGAGAGAGAGGAGGAGAGAGAGAGAGGAGAGGAGAGAGAGAGAGAGAGAGAGAGGGAGGAGAGAGAGAGAGAGAGAGAGAGGGAGGAGAGAGAGAGAGAGAGAGAGAGAGAGAGAGAGAGGAGAGAGAGAGAGAGAGAGAGGAGGAGAGAGAGGAGGAGAGAGAGAGAGAGGAGGAGAGAGAGAGAGGAGGAGAGAGAGAGAGAGGAGAGAGAGAGAGAGAGAGAGAGGAGAGAGAGAGAGGAGGAGGAGAGAGAGAGAGGAGGAGAGAGAGAGAGGAGGAGAGAGAGGAGAGGGGAGGAGAGAGTGAAAGGAGAGGGTGTGTGAAAGGGGAGATGTGTGAAAGGGGAGGTGTGTGGAGAGAGAGTGAGAGATCGGATTTCGAAAAACCGACCTTAAAGTCGGTTGTGCTAAAATAAGAATCTTGTGCATCTGGGGGTAAAAGAAGGGAGAATTGTATGAAGTGAGAAGCTGAAATTTAATTTCTAAGATAAAAGAAGGAATAGATTGAAGAAAACAGAAAGCCAGCAATACAGAAAGGGAAGAATCATCAAACATAAAACGCAAGTATAAGAAAAGAGAGAAAAAAAAGGAGAGAGAGAAAAAAAGAAAAAGGAAGAAAAAAAGAAAAAAGGAGAAAAAAAAAGAAAAAAGGAGAAAAAAAGAAAAAAGGAGAAAAAAAGAAAAAAGGAGAAAAAAAAGGGGAAAGAAAAGAAGAAATGAAGAAAAAAGGAAAAAAAACGAAGAAAATAAATATATCTAAACACAAAGACCTCTGAACATTTTTCTTTCTCTCCCTTTTATCTAGTTCTGAGGTGGTGGTGGTGTTGGTTGAAGCACCAGCAGACAGGCAATCCGTTCAGCTATTCACCACCACCCAGACATTTTTGCTCCTTCACAGCAATTAGAAAGTAAAGATGGTTCAGGTGAGAGAGTTTCAAAGGAGAGGAAAGAAAACATTCACGCCCTGCGGGAATCCAATTAAGAAAGGAAGCACTCATAGGCAAGGCTGGAAACCTGTGGGATTCAATTGAGCAAAAGTAAATACCGATGAAGCCGTCAGCTTCCACCTACTCCTTAGCACATATAACTATGTTTGTTTTTTGTAATCATTTCACCCCAAGCAAAGCAATAAAAACACTAAGATGCAATAGGTCACTGAGTGTTAGAGAATACGAGAAAAATGTACTATTAAGTAGAGAAGACAATAGCAAAACGGGAATTAAGAAAACAGAAGATATTGCATTTAAATTTTTGAAGAGCAAGGTTGACAGGGAAGTAAGAAGCCAGAAGAGAGTACCACTAGCGAGAAATGCAAGAGAAGAAGGAACTGTTAGCATAGAACTTACGGTTCCATTTAGCCATTTCAACTGTAAACGATGAGGCAGAGCCACCGATCAAATACTGCACTTAAATTCAAATCGAGGTACCGTAGAGGAAAGTTAATCAGAACAATTACCATAAAAATATTTATAGAAAAGACACAGGGGAGCTAAGTTATGGTGGTGGGAAAGCGTCTGAAGCTGAGGTGCCAGGTCAGAACCAATAGCATTGCAGATTCTTTGGATTTTATCAATAATCTTTAAATATATAGCAAGAGCACCAGACCATATGTGGCAGCAGTAGTCAAAGCAAGGACAAATGGTAGACTTATAAATATGTAAAATAGATTCTGTTGAGAAAAAGTTTCTAGGTCAATACAGAGAACCAAACTTCCTGGCTGTAGACTTAGCAGTTGATTCAATATAATCTTTCCACTTCATATCAGTTATTTTGCAGTTAATACTAATTCAAAGGTAAAATTGTATATTCATCCACTTTCTCTCTCTGTGTCTCAAACACACACACAAAGTATGGCTGGCTGTTCACATCTGTGCCTGCCTATCTGTGGTGCAGAGGCTAGGTAATGCACTTGAATTTTGTGGGAAAAATGAGATAAAATAACTAAATCAAATATGAAAAAAAAAAATGAAAAAGAAATACATTTTCCCCCATTATGCTAGTAATAAAGGAACCGACAATTTTGTTTTACTTCACTTGGCTTCATCAAATGCCCGTTAGGTGGCGCTGTTTAAGTTCTATAAAAAGACAAACATTTCCTTCCTCTTCCTGTTTTCTTTCTTCTAACGAAATATAGTGGATGAAGACATCCTAGTTGAGGAACGTCCTCTTTCCTCAATCGACTGACGGATGAAGTAAATACAACCATTACTTTGGGTAAAGTCACTTTTTAGATAACTCAACGTTTTTATCCACTTTTATTTTTGAGGGATCCAAAAAGTGACTTGACCCAAAGAGTTGTGAGTTCAATACCTGGCCACAGCAGAGGGAACAAAAACTTGGAGCGTTGAGGTACTAAAGGGAATTAACGGAAACTGAGGTATAAAAAAAACAAAAAACAACAACAACATAAAAAGGCATGGCGCGTGGAATTAGAACAATCTTCCCCCGCGGACTAAAAGTATTCGCCTCGAAATTCCAGTTTATATCAGAATTCACTTTTTTAAGCCTGTATTTAACCAATTTGTGGTTTAGTTTAATTTTATGGCATATCAACTTCAATGGCTTATTTAATACCGACAAACTTTTATTGTTGGTAAGTTTTTTGTTCAAAATGTATTGCTGGTAATTTTCTTTTTCAAAAATTTATTGCTGGTAATAATTTTTGTTTACAAAGTATTTCTGATATTAAAACCTATTTTTACACTTTCATAGTGTTTTGACTTCAGTTTGAGGGTTAACTTTTTTACCCATAGCTGGGACCCGGGTCAGGGTGGACCTGGGAACACCAGCAAATAAGAGGCGGTTCCACGCTCCTCAAAACCTCCTGATCAGAGGCCTTGCTGCTGGACGTAGTTTATCGTCTTACGCAGGACGCCTTAGTTTGTGTCCAATTAATATAAGTAGCTAGTTTTGTTTCTAACCTTTGAATAGTTTAAATACGAATCTATGTTAAGTCATGGCAATTCTCCCATATTAATGTAAGCTTTGGAGAGCCATGGTCACTCACTTATATCATTAAGAGCCATGGCATGTAAAAAAAAAAAATATATATATTTAAAGTATTTAGTCTTCATTTTGTTTCTTTTTATGTTAAAACAGGCGTTATTCAATAAATGGCAAGTTTTAAACAGAAACAAGCATTAGTGCTGATTTGGTCTTTTAAAGGTAGCAATTACACAAGCGAACGTTTAGTCGAAAGTACAAACAAATTGAAAACAGTTTTGAGGCTAGGGCAAAGGTACTTTTCAAAATGAGTTGTTAGAAGTCTGTGAGTATATCAGAAACAAATTACTATTTAGTGTCTAATAAAAGTGTGGGTGGGAGAGCATTTTAGTTTATTTCATTTATTTAAAAAAAAAAAAAAAAAAGAAAAATACATATCGTTTTTAATTTGTAATCAAAAGAACACAAAATAAATGCAGCCGTGTAGCCAAAAACATTAAATTGTATTAATTTTCCAATAATTCTTGTTTTATCTCTTTCCCATAATAGTTGGGACATTCGCATACACATTTCATGCATTAAATGTCTCAGCTATTATGGGATTTATTACATTTTTAGGCGGATTAATTGCCTGATGACACCACACTGGTATAAACCATAGTAGTGTAAAGGTCGGTGTTTCAATTATTTAACATCTTGAATTGCCCTATATGTTGCGTTTTTGAAAGTTTTATTGAGCACTTTTTTTATTTTTTTTTTAATTAAGCCGTTTTTTTTAGCAAATATTACATTTGGTTAAAAGTTGGATTATGTAAAGTGTGTGTGCAGATATTTATTAGACACCGTTACATTAGAACATGTAAATTACTACTACAAAATTGTACATTTTGTTTCAACATCAAAATGTACAATTTTGTAGTGGATATTTACTTGTTCCAATGTAACAGTGTATAATAAATATTTATTGCTCTACTCTTGTTTTAGATTAATGTTTTGGACTTTGCAATTTTATTCTTCGTTCTTTTACATTCGGATATTTTATATAAGATTCTTCGGTAAATCGAATCGAGTTCTCTCAGTCACTGTGTGTTTATCTAAAAATAAATGCTTAAATTCACCCTCATCAACGGCTTAGTGATAGAATTCCCGACTCATGCCAATTCAGTCGGGTTTCGATCCTAGCTAGAGGCAACCGGACGTCTCGCCACACTGATGATCTGTGATACAGCGAAACTGTCATATATATATATATATATATATATATATATATATATATATATATATATATATATATATATATATATATATACACACACATAGTTCCTCTATCTTTGTTTGTTGCCATATTTATCACAACGTTTCTGCCGTTGTACGGTCCGGCATTCAGATGGTTGGCATGTCGAACTGAATCCTTTATTTCGCTCGCTGGGGTAGACTGTTCTAGTTCCACGTCTAATGGATGTCAGTTATCTCCCGTTGACACGTGGAACTAGAACAGTGCCACAACGAGCGAAATAAAGGGTTCAGTTCGACATTTCAACCACCTGAAAAGACCGGAGCGTACAACGGCCGAAACGTTGTGATAATGGACGATAGTCCGAATAATGTAAATAGTGTACATAATACATTATCTCTCTCTCTATATATATATATATATATATATATATATATATATATATATATATATTAAATTTCTCAGAATAATTCTAAAAATAATTTGGATAAAATAGACAATGGTAAAATAGTTCTTAGTCCTTGCCGACGCGTTTCGTCACTTGACTTTATCAAGACAAGTTATGATAAATAAAAGCAAATTGTTGTGTAGTTACGTCAAATTAAAAAAATAGGAAAATGACTCCTGTGTAAGCCTCTTTCTGGATATTGGTAACTTTTTTTTTTTTTTTTTACTAAGAGTTTGTTTTTGTTTTCCATGTTGACATTGGTAAATTTCTCAGAATAATACTGAAGATAAGAAATTGGATAAAAAAGACAATTGGAAAATAGTCTTTGCGAACAAGTTAAATAAAGTAATTTAAACACTGACTTTTTAGCTCTACAATGGTTTTTACCAATGTGGCGTTATTGGGCAATAAATCTGTCTGGTAAAAATCATAGCGGCATAAAGGGCAGTGTTTCAATTATTTCAAAAATAACTTTACCATTTAAGCACTAATTTATTAAAGCATCGACACAATTGTACATGTGCCTGTGTACGCGCATTTATATGTGCATGTGTGTATAGCTATATACGCACATGCATGTTTGTGCACACAAGTGTATAAATACACGCATATGCACATAAATTGAAATAATAATAAGTTAAAAAATTTAATTATAAACCTAACCTCCTACAATTATTACTTAAGATACCACCAAACCAAAAAAAAAAAAAAAAAAAAAAAAAAAAAAAAAAAAAAAAGCCAAGTAAAAGACATGAAAATATTTATCATTTAAGCATTCATATCAATTATTTATGTGAGGGATGAAGTACAGTTTTCCTGACTCAAGAAAACACGAGAACGCCCAAAAGTTAAAAACAATAACATGTCAATAGAAAAAACAGAAATAAATAGCTACAACGGAAAAAAAGAGAAAAAAGGAAAAAAAGAGAAAAAGGAGTGAGTACAAAGTGGAGTAAAAACAACAAAAAATATAAAAAGGACAAATGATCACGACACCCTACACGTAGTCACATCCGCACAGACGGGCGTGAATGCACATCCGCACAGATAGACACATGGCAGCAAACAATGCGTGGAAAAAAAATTAACACCAATTATAAGTGTATAAAAATGAAAAGTGTATAAAAATGAAAAACTTAAAAAATATAATCAGTAAATTGCTGATTACCCACTGAAGAGTGGACGGACAAATCCGCTTACGAAATTCTTGAGTCGGGATTCTGATTAATCAGGTAAGTGACAAACTTTTACTTATATTAATTCTCTCTCTCTCTCTCTCTCATTATAAACATGTGTGTGCGTGTGTGTGTCGCTGTCAACATTGGAGTTTGAACACAGATCAGCATAGAGCAAACAGTCGATCCCATTTTGAA